TTCACTCTTTAATAAGGCACGGGAGCCACTCGAGGTAGAGTGTTACGTTAAGAGGTAGATTATATGGATAGGAAGGGAAGATAACGGTCAACTCTAGACTTGAACAGGTTAAGATTGTAATGATCGGGCGATCATCTTCTAGGGAGTCTGTTCCATAGAGCAGTGTTTCACAGGAAGAAGCTGTTTTACTGTGACTTACTTAGTACCGATGGAATACTGGGGGAATGGGGGTGGCTTCCTACTATGTAAATGGCATGGGTAGGTTCTAACCGTGACGGTCAGATCTGGTGGTCTGTTGAGATGCAGTTCGTCCGCGCACTTTCCATGGTATTGGTGATAGAACAGTGAGAGACTCGCTACATCCTGTCTGTGAGAGTGAGGTCGGAGAGTGGAAAATAATTCTTCTCCCGCAAAAACACGGAGACGCTTTTGATTTCTATAGCGACTGGGAAGTGAGGTCTGGGCAGCTCCTGCCCAAATATGGCAAAAGTACTTCATTTTCAGCTTGATCTAGCTTTTATAAAGGTAGAGGATTGTTACGGTTTTTGTGTATATAGGCATGTAACTAGGATATTTATTATGTAAAAATACATAATTGTGGCACAAGGCCGAAATGGGAGGGGGTGTAGGCTGGTCTTCACTAACTATCTTATACCTAGCTAATCTGATTCACGACCCATTCATACGTTACAATTAACCCATTCACCACAAGAACATGTCCATCACCACTCAATCCTTCATGCACCATAATACCAGATTCTCACCAGGGGACCTACAAACGCGCCCCAATCCATTGAATTTGATGATACATAAAATGCTATACATAAAATTTGATAGGATGCAACCCAATAATAACTAAAATAAACACAACATTCAAACTAAACATAACATATGTTAGTAGGGACCGTCCAACCCTCAAAACAGAGAGGCCGCTGTATTCTGCCCAAAGGGCAGAATCAAGAAGCGCTCTCGCAAGGGAGTGGGAAAGGATAAAATATTATGCCGGAATGGGTAATATAAAACTGACCCAGTCAAGATAAAAAGAGGACCAAAACAAACTGGGGAGGTTGGGAATCTCGACCCATAACCAAAGAGCAGCCGGGATACAGGCCAGGAACGACACTTACTCACATTAACTAGGTACACTGAAGCTTGTCTAACCCAACCAAGGGAGGGTTCCGCAGGAAGCCACCCTGATGTGCTATAGGTTGACTTAAAAGAAAATCAAGGTAGCCCCGGTCACACGAACCAGGCTTGCTACTTTTACCCACCAAGATCGTCGAATGCAACTTTTTCTATCAGATCTAATCTTCATCTTGAGCTGATGCTCAAAGAATTGGATTAGATGCTGATAAGAAAGACGGTTGCCCCGCAAGACTCCATTCGCGTCGTCCAAATCACCATTCGAGCCGTGGCCATCAGCATCAAAACACCATTCGTTTCTCCCCCGAATACGAACTTGTCACACGCGTATGCGCGATCCAACACTAGCTGTTCGGGGAGCGAGACGAGCCGTCAGCTCGCCGACATGGTCCCATAAGGGGCGGACCCGGGGGCAATGGTAGAAGGCGTGCGCAGCCGTTTCTTCTAAACCAAGACCACACCGTTCACAGTCTGGCAAATCCGCCAAACCCCATATGAAAGCCTTGTCATTGAGAGGCAGCCGATTCCGAGCCAATCGCCAGGTAAGCGAAAACTCAGGGTTACTGAGGTAATCCGCCGCTGGCGCCCAAGACCAATAGGAGCGATACTCCTCCTCCGACAAGCCGAGCGTATCACGTAAGGCATCCTTCGCGCGACCCTCCACTAAACCACGATAGAAGACCTTCCTAGGCCGTGAAGAGGTCACTGGACCGGGGAATGGCCTCATAGGCCAACCGACACTCGTGGATGAAATCCGACTTTCCCGGAGCCTACAACGGCGCTAGATGGGGGACTGATAGTAAGGCTAGGGAAGGCGTCCCTAAATCCCTCCAGAATCGGATCTCCCTAGTCAATGCGCGGCGTAGGAAAGCCAACCTAGAGGCACGGATGTGACTCATAAGGTGCGGCATTCCCAGCCCCCCATGACACGGACGTTTGGTGCAGACTCGTCTGTCGACCCTGTTCACGCGTCCCCTCCATAAAATGGAGGATAGCGATCGCTCGAGCACCTTCCTGCGGTCTTTTACAGAGAGGAAGTACGGACAACCGATAAAGAATCAGGGGAAAATGTATGTAACACACACCTCCGCCCTGCCCTTCACGGACAACCGCCGTCGATTCCAAGTCTGACCGGCATAATCGACCTTTGCACGTGACCAATTCTTCTCCAGCTGGAGGTCGGGCCCAAACCACACTCCAAGAATGCGGACAGGACCGTCCGTCCAACCGAAGCGGCCCGGAAGATCGACCCCCTTCCAGGCACCTAACCGCAAGCCGGACGACTTGTCGCGGTTTATCTTGGCCCCTGTCACCTTCTCGTACCGATCAAGCGCCTTCTGTACCGCCTCAATGTCGC